TAACGTTTTAATGAAGAATTTAACGTTTTAATGAACATTTAAACATTTAATGAACATTTTAACGTTTTTAAAAATGAACATTTAAACGTTTTAATGAACATTTTAACGTTTTAAAAAAATGAACATTTAAATGTTTTAATGAAAAATTTAACGTTTTAATGAACCTTTAAAACATTTTTAAAAATGAACATTTAAACATTTTAATGAAGAATTTAACGTTTTAATGGACATTTAAAACATTTTAATGAACATTTTAACGTTTTAATGAACCTTTAAACGTTTTAATGAACATTTTAACGTTTTTAAAAATTAACATCTTAACGTTTTATTGAACCTACAAACGTTTTTAAAAATGAACGTTTAAACGTTTTAATGAAGATTTTAACATTTTAATGAACATTTTATTGTTTTACTGAACATTTAAACGTTTTAATGAACATTTTAAAGTTTTAACAAAAATTTTAACATTTTGAAGAAACGTTTAACGTTTTTAAAAATGAACATTTAAACGTTTTAATAAAGAATTTAATGTTTTAATGAACATTTTAACGTTTTAATGAACATTTTAACATTTTAATGAACCTTTTAACGTTTTTAAACATGAACATTTAAATGTTTTAATGAAGATTTTAACGTTTTTAAAAATGAACATTTAACCGTTTTAATGAAGTATTTAACGTTTTAATGAACATTTAATGTTTTAATGAAGATTTTAACATTTTTAAAAATGAAGATTTTAACGTTTTATTGAACCTATAAGCGTTTTTAAAAATGAACATTTAAACGTTTTAAAGAAAAATTTAATGATTTAATGGACATTTAAACGTTTTAAGGAAGATTTTAACGTTTTAATGGACATTTAAACGTTTTAATGAAGATTTTAACGTTTTTAAAAATGAACATTTAAACGTTTTAATGAAGAATTTAATGTTTTAATGAAGATTTTAACGTTTTTAAAAAAAATGAACATTTAAACGTTTTAATGGAGATTTCAACGTTTTATTGATTATTTTAACGTTTTTAAAAACGTACATTCAAACATTTAATGAAGATTTATATTCAACAAGCATATATATATTCTGATATATATCAGACATATATATCTTGTTTCTACATGATATCAGAAGGAGACTGCTTGCTTCTTTATGATGTCAGAGGCAGACTGCTTGTTTCTTTATGATGTCAGAAGGAGACGTTTTTTTTCATCAAGTTGACGCAGGGATAGGTAGATCTTGTTGTATTGTTGTTGTGTCCCTTTTTTGTGTCCTTTTGTTTGTTTTTTTTTTTTTGTCTTTTTCTGCAGGTCTAGAAGCAGACTCTTGTTCATTGTTTATTTTTGTGGATCCACCCCCCCCTCTCTCTCCCTCCACCCTTTTTCTTCCTTTCTCTTTCACCTCTGTCTCCGTGTCTGGTCGGAATTACAAAGCATTCAACAACAATAACAATAAAGTTTTAAGTATTAGGCGTGACATTAAAAGCAAACGCTTTGATGCTCCACCTGAGAATAAATCTGTAAGGCTTGTCACCAGCATTCAGACATCAATTCTGCTTGCTTCACAGCCAGACAGGACACGTTAAAAAAATAAATAAATAAAAAGAAGGAGACTGCTTGCTTCTTTATGATGTCAAACGGAGACTGCTTGTTTCAAAAAATAAACATTTTAACGTTTTAATGAAGATTTTAACGTTGTAATGAAGATTTTAACGTTTTAATGAACATTTAAACATTTTAATGAACATTTTAACGTTTTTAAAAATGAACATTTAAACGTTTTAATGAACATTTTAACGTTTTTAAAAATGAACATTTAAATGTTTTAATGAACATTTAAACGTTTTAATGAACCTTTAAACGTTTTTAAAAATGAACATTTAAACATTTTAATGAAGAATTGAACGTTGTAATGGACATTTAAACGTTTTCATGAACATTTTAATGTTTTTAAAAATTAAGATTTTAACGTTTTAATGAACATTTAAACGTTTTAATGAACATTTTAACGTTTTAAAAATGAAGACTTTAACGTTTTAATGATGATTTTAACGTTTTTAAAAACGAACATTTAAACATTTTAATGAAGATTTATATTCACCCTCCCCATTGGGTGAGCGGTGGGGGGTGTTGCCGCCCGCGGACTCGTCTCTAGGCCGAATGTGAGATCTAATATGGACTGGGACTGTTAAATTACAAGCAGGGCCAGACCGCTGCGACCGGGAGCCCTGGCCTTCCAGATCAGCGGGACATTAGCTACATGCTAACGCGGTAAAACAACTCCTACGTCATTGCCCTACAACGTTTTATATATATGTCTGATATATATTCTGATATATATCAGACATATATATCTTGTTTCTACATGATATCAGAAAGAGACTGCTGGTTTCTACATGATATCAGAAAGAGACTGCTTGTTTCTACATGATGTCAGAAGGAGACTGCTTGTTTCTTTATGATGTCAGAAGGAGACTGCTTGTTTCTACATGATGTCAGAAGGAGACTGCTTGTTTCTTTATGATGTCAGAAGGAGACTGCTTGTTTCTACATGATATCAGAAGGAGACTCACATCTTATTGCTCATTTAATAAATGTAGCAACAATCCAACCACGCTACAGTGTTATCATATGTCGCCTTTTGACATCTTTAATTGTGCTTCATGATGTCAAACAGGTTTGTTTGAAAGGATTTCCTTCTTTTTAAGGTCTGGCAGAAATCAGGTCTGGATGTGCTCCACACACACTAACCACGGACTCACACGCACATAAACAAAAGCTCTGATATTAAAATCTATCCAGCTGACGTGAAGCAGGCAGAAAAAAAACTTACAGTTAGATCAGTGGTTCCCAAACTTTTTAAGCCGCTCACCCCCTCCTATGTCCCGACCATGTCGACACCCCCCCCCCCCAGCCCCCACATCATATATATATATATATATATATATATATATATATATATATATATATATATATATATATATATATATATATATATCAGACATCAAGCTAAACAGACAGGGTTAAAAAAAATATGATCAAGCTTTTTCCCATCACTTTCATTTTTTAAATAGTAATTAAAAAACATTCAATACCATTACAATTTCCTTTGATTTAATTTTAAATAAATATTTAGAGTGCCCAGGTAGCACATCAAAAATGCAATTTAACGGTTTTCTTAAAGTAGGAACGTTTAACCTGTGCGGCCAGAGCGCTCTCCTTCCTTCTGCTCTGCGTAAACCTGAGCTGGTCACTTACTTGTGCGTAATCAAATGTCTATGGGGAGAAGTTGGAAAAGAGATAGCCATGAGGTTCACTTTCGCCTCAGACCGACTTACTGCTGTTTTATGGTGTGGCTGAATCTGCGATCCACTGCCACGCGGACTGGAATAACAAATGCTGCAGTAACATGAGTTCAGGTTCGGAGTCACTGGCTGGAGCAGACCCGACCTTAATACGTCATCCCAAAATAGAAGCTAATATCTTAATTTGACCTTGAATGAAAAATGTTGTTATAAAACCTCTTAAAAGTTTTTATCACAGAGGAGGCAGCGTCTTCAGTCTGACGGCGCGCCGGAGTCTACACAGCGTGCGCGCTTATTGAATCTGTGTGTGTGTGTGTGTGTGTGTGTAAGCGCGCGGCACAGCTCTATGAGCCGCTCCAGTCACCGCGTCTCGTTCTTGGCGCTATTTAAACCAATGTTGTAAAATTACTTATGCCCAGTCCAGATGTGCACTTGTGCACCCGTGAGCCGTGGTTCCGCTGGAACGCGTCTGACCTCTGACAGAGGCACTCTGAACTACAGATCTTCAGCACGCTGTTAATAGCCTGAATGGGAATAATTTCTTGATTTATTTTGTTACTGTACATCCACAATGTTCTGTGTGTGAGGTTTACAATGTCAGAACACCTGCATGAGACAGGTGTTAATTACAATCTGCCAGAATGTTTCACCACCTTCAGATTTCTCCAACATCGTTAAAAATGATCAAATACGGAACATATCGGCGTGCGCAGGCCAGAGTGCTGAAGCTCGGCGCATTATTATGAAGCTAGGGCACATGTGGAGGACACACACACACGCACGCAAAAATATACTTGTTTTCAATTACATTTATTGGGCCCACTTACGTTTTCTTAGGCCCACCCACAAATGAGTTTCTGGCTACGCTAATGGTGACATATGACAGACTTCTCTGAGCTCGGCAGCCATTACACTTTTCACCTTGCGCACCCCCTAGCGGCAGCGCGCGCACCACACTTTGGGAATCCCTGAGTTAGATGAACGCAGACTCCCGTCCGCAGGGAAAACACCGGTCTGTCGTCTCCATGGCTACAAGGTAGAGCGACAGTAAGGACAACCAATCACACGTTAGTATGATGCGGCAGAGCCAATCAGTGAGCTTGTAGGCGGGTCTAAGGGAAAATAGCCTTCAGCTTGAGGCGGCTGCCCCCGCATGGTCCTAGTGTCCGATTTGTTTCACAGTATAACAGTTTTGTATGGTAAAATCTGACGAACGACCGGAAAAAGGGCACTTTGGGCACTTCGGACAAAAGGGGCAGGGTCTCAAGCACCCTCCGCCCCCCCTCTGCATGTGCCTGTTGATCATTCATATTTATATGGAATATCACATCTTATTGCTCATTTAATAAATGTAGCAACAATCCAACCACACTACAGTGTTATCATATGTTGCCTTTTGACATCTTTAATTGTGCTTCATGATGTCAAACAGGTTTGTTTGAAAGGATTTCCTTCTTTTTAAGGTCTGGCAGAAATCAGGTCTGGATGTGGAACTGAACTTCTAAGTTGTTAATCGCAGTCAATTTATGATTTAACAACTTACTTACTTTTTCACATATGACACTTTGTCTTCTCCCCATTGATGAAAAAGTTTTGAATTTGAAAACAGCGTATTGTACTCATCCAAGTGTTCTTTAACACTGATGGAGATAATGACACAATTTAGTGAGAATGGACTACTATGCAGTTTATTGTGTATCCACCTTGGTAGCATCGATGTGGTCCTGCAGAGAATCAATGAAGAGGTCACCAACAGGCTCCCAGGCATCCCTCACCCCCTCTGCCTGCTCCAGGGCCCCTGCCAGCTCTTCCATGGCTGCCTGGATCTGCAAAAGGCGCTCCAGTGTTCTCTCCATGTGTCTGCAGTTTTCATTAACAACACAAAAAGTTTAACTTTTAAAAGGTCTGTGATCATGCAGTTACAAGTATCATTTATCACAATGTATAAATTGTCAGTTTAGTCTGTATAAATTTCAAATTTGTCTTATTTGGGTTACTAAAATACACCATGAGAAGAACTAATATTTAAGATTTTAATATCGTAACCAAAATATAAAAATGTCACCCTACAGGGATGAATTGGGTATGTAAATATAATTTCTTTCCTTTTCCTGGGCCAACATTTGATACATGTGTTTACCTAAAAGAGTGTGTAATAGATTACAGTTGCCCCATTCTATGATATAGTTATGGTATTATAGATAACATATGGCAGCATAAACCTCTGATGGACAAAAGGCAAGTTTAAACACATGAAGAAAGTCAGGATTTATATAAATGTATCTCAAAAAGTTAAAATAAACAGCTAAAACTATTCAGACAATAAACTAATTAAACTAATTTGAATAGAAATACACAGACTTTGGGTTGAAGGGCTGATAATCTATCTCTGAGTCTCACACGGCTTTGATCTGCTGATTCTAGTGTCAGCAACTTCTGACAGAAAAAGATTAACAGAATATGACTTATTTATTTATTTATTTCTGATTAACTTTTAAATTATGATTCTGAAAGTAAAAACTTCCATTTAATAGAACTGCTCTTACCAACTGTGAAATCGTGGATTGAAAAAGATTTGTGAGTTTCACATTGGCTCATCACACATTAAAACTGTCATGCTGAATGTTGTCCTGTTCTGATCAACAGCAAGTGTTTTCATGTAACACTGATTTTGAACCAAAGTCTCTAAGAACTCTCAGACGCTAGTTTCTTTGGACATTTTTGTTCATTTTTTTAAACCATGTTTAGCCATTAACTTTCAGTATTTAACAGTGACCAAACCTGTCTAAATATCCATATTTTTATTGTATTTCAACCTCCTTCTGGCACCATCTTTGTCAACATAAACCCTACCAAATTAAATTCTTTTGAACTAAAATGGTCCTGTATGTGACAAGCTGTAATAATGATTTTTTTTAGAACAGAAAGGGTGCTATTTAGAGATGTGCACTATCCTTGACTAACAATCTCTGACCTGTGTCGGTCCACACAACGTGCTGTCAGCTTTTCCCAGAGGTCACTGGCCACATTCGCCTGCTTCCATACCGACCGGCTCACATTGAAAATCCTCCGACGGGGAGAAACCTCTGTGGAAGGTAGAGGAGGATAAAAGAAATTTTGGATGGAAGTGAACACGTTGGGGTAATAACATAAATCAAGTAAAAGAGTTGGTATGTAAAGGAGAGAGTCAAGGATTTGGTTAAATTCAGTTTCATTTACATATATAGCGCCAAATCACAAGTCATCTCGAGGCACTTCACTAACCCCGGCTTTCCACGGGAGCCGTCAGCAGCACGTTACTGCAGCAGCACGTCATAGCTGCTGATAGGAACCGCTGTGGTCAACAGAACCTTTTCCACTGGAGCCGTCGGCAGCCATCAGCAGCGCGAGTCGGCCGCGTCTCACCCCGGGTTTCCACGGGATCCGTCAGCAGCACGTTACTGCAGCAGCACGTCTTGCTCGCGTAAGCTGCTGCTTGGCCCTTCCCACGAGACGCGAAGCAGCAGGGGAGCAGCTGTCACCGACCGAGCACGTCAGTAAACACAACAACAAGCAGGAGAAAATTACAACATGGTTTGTGTTTTATGTTCTGTCCGTTTTATAATCGCCAATACGGACCTGAAAAACAAAGGAGACCGCTAGCTAGGTGATAACTTCTCACGGGGACGCACAGTTAGTAACCTTTTTTAAAAGTAAAGCAACCAGAAAGCAGTACGTTCTTTATTCTGAAAATCTCGGGAGCTTCTCTCCATTTCCGCGTCCGATTTCCTGTCTTTCCTTCCCCCAAAACTGTCGAACTTGACCCGTTTCAGAGGCGTCGCGCGTAGAAAATAGAACCGGCGCATAAAGTGCTGCGACATGCTGCTCCTGAGACGCGGCCGACTAGCGCTGCTGACGGCTGCCGACGGCTCCAGTGGAAAAGGTTCTGTTGACCACAGTGGTTCCTATCAGCAGCGTGCTGATGCAGTAACGTGCTGCTGACGGCTCCCCTGGAAAGCCGGGGTCAGGAGCAGCATGTCGCAGCCTTTACGCGCCGGTTCTATTTTCTACGCGCGACGCCTCTGAAACGGGTCAAGTTCGACATTTTTGGGGAAGGAAAGACAGGAAATCGGACGCGGAAATGGAGAGAAGCTCCCGAGATTTTCAGAATAAAGAACGTACTTCCTTCCGGTTGCTTTACTTTTAAAAAATGTTACTAACTGTGCGTCCCCGTGAGAAGTTATCACCTAGCTAGCGGTCTCCTTTGTTTTTCAGGTCCGTATTGGCGATTATAAAACGGACAGAACATAAAACACAAACCATGTTGTAATTTTCTCCTGCTTGTTGTTGTGTTTACTGACGAAGTCACACGAGTGACTTTGTCACTGTCACTGGTGCTTGGTAAATCTGTCATCTTTTCATTCGACCATAAACCAAAACATCCGAAGTATAAAACTATGCCCACGCCATCTTTAATGCCAGTTCAAAGCGTTCTAGAGAGGTTGACGGAGTGGCCAATCCGTAACTCTTCTCTTCAGCCGAAAGAACCAACGACAAGCTGGATAAACCTGTTGCCGTTCCACCTGCTGCAACGGTTCCTTTCAGAATAAAAGCTGAACCACCACGACCCCGTTTTGGGTCTTGTTAGATGCTGATAAACTGTTGTGACCCGGGAGTATCTCAAGACTGGTGGTCGGCTGCCGCGGCTGCTTCTACAAGCTTTGGCTCCACAAAGGTCAAGCTGGACCTTTACACCTCCTGATCTAGACGTGGACTTCCACTAAGGGTACGTAGACCGACAGAATGGCGTTGAATGTGTTTATGAAACTCCTGACCAAAGCTTAGCGTGAAGACATCAGCTTCATTTCCCACCAGAACTAATCGTTTCTTCAGATTTGCTGGTTCTGAGCAACATTCCACACTACACCATTCTCCGTCTCATTCACCTTAGTTACACCATACATTTAGTGTTAAGTTAGTCTAGTTTTAATTTGTTTAGTAATAAATATTTAAACTTTTAAAACTTGACTCTCTCTTCTGTTGTCTGAGTTAATACGAAGTGGTTACATTATCCCTGCAATAAAAAGTTCCAATCTTCTGGTTAAACAGTACCCACAGATCCATCGGGTTGATTTCACATTTACTATGGAATCTTATGTCCAATGGCTCATTAAATAACATGTAAATTAACTCATTAAAATAGTGATATATTCTGTAGTTTTGAACAGTGATATAATGTTCTAAAATTAGCTAGATTATGCTAAAGTGTCTTATAATTATTCATTTATTCAAAAATATTGTTTATTTAGCTTGTTCATAGTTATTTATTTTGGGATTTCTTTTACCAGAACAGGGCCCACGTCCCTATGTGATCACTTCAATCTGATTTTCTGCATGAAAATAAATATTTTTGAAAAATGACATTGAAAACAGAAATACACTTTTGTTATGGACTACAATAACACCCAGGGGTTGAAATAAAAATAAAAATTAACTACTTCAATGAGTGCCCTACAAAAGTTAACAGGAAGAAACAAAACACACACACACACACACACACACGGCTGCACACATTGTGATTTCTTAGTAGAAATTATATTTCCCAGCCAAATAATCTTTATTTTCTCTATCCGAGTGAATTAGAAACTGAAACAACACTAAAAAACAAAGTAAAGAAAGGAGAAACTACTTGGGTGGAAGTTGAAACACTTTACAACAAAGAAAAGTTGGAGAGACAATAGTGGGACAGCTTACTGTGAGAACAAACCATTCAGAGGAGAACATGAGTCTGGAGAAACAGTCAAGCTCACTGTAATATTGATCTCAGCAGCTGGCACTGTAGTAAACTGGAGCTAATTGGTCCCGACCCGGACATTTTTCCTAAACTCAGCAAGACACCAGAGGACTGATCACTGCTAATAACAGCTAATGGAAAATTTCACCTGCAAGGGACCTAATGGAATGAACTTGGGGGTTGAACTGAGGGGGAATCTGAGTGTGACATTTTGACTGGCGCAGCAGTTGGCTCAGAGTGTGGAGGGAGCAGACCTTTTCCATCGGTCAGGGTCTCCTCTGGCTCCTGGAAAGGGTGCTGAGCCAGAAAGGCCTGGGCAGACTCCAGAACCGAGTAGATGAAGGGCCCGCGAGACTTGACATCCTCCATGAATGCCTAAAGGAGGGAAGAAGGAACAAAACATGAAAATGATTCCAATTTAAAACAAGGAATGAGTCATACAGGCTGAGCGCCTCCTCCTTGTTCAATTTAGACTGAATTTTAATGTCAATACAACTCAAATCAAGTGATTAAAAGTTAATAATTATTTGAACAGCATTTTAATTTGAGTTTAAGTACACAAATAAAAAGGATTTTTAAATTATTTGGGAAACTTTTGATCTTTTTCAACTTAAGAAAACATCTAATAGTTTATGTTTTGATACTAGTTTCAATAACTATAAATATGTATCTAATTCTAACTTTTTTAAGCAGACTGATGAACTGCGATGCCAAGGATTCTGAAGCCATAAAATAAACATTTTGTTAAAGTAATACTGCTCCCACATCATGAATGTGTAAAATGTACAAAGCTCAGTAGAATGTGAAACATTGACCATCATTTACACTAAAGAAAATGTTATTTTATGCACTCAGGTTTCTGGAGTCATTCACTACACGTAATCATGGCACTGACGGATCACAGAAAGGTCTTTGATCCGCTTCAGAGTGCACATCATAGGATTATCTTAGTTTAAAGAGCAAGTAACGCCTAAATTAACTTTTTTTTTTGCTGATAACCTGCATAGATGAGTGTCTAATGGTGCTGTACACATGTGTAATCATTAGTGTAGCAGTTTAGTGCAACTTACTTTAAATTTAATATTTCAGCCCAAAACCATAATTCTATCTCCATCTTCAGGTTAAAACTCTGCCCCACATTTATGTAGAACCAGCTGTGGCTAATGGCTAAGCTGAAAAACATGAGGTTGTCTGCAAATCACTACGTGGCTACACTGCACTGGTCTCCAGGTGATGCAGCCGCACCTACCAATTTGACACGCTGGCGCTCTGAGCCGCTCGCCTCCTTTAAAAAAATGCCCTCCTCCCCTTTTCATCTAATGATCGCGTTTAACAGGAAATCCTCCAGAATGCTGCATAATCTGTCTGCTTTTCTTCTGAGCGGTAAGTGTTGTGTGAGTACGTGGTTGCATGCACGCGCGAGTACGCACATGCTCGTTAACCCTTTGATGCATAATGGTCACTACAGTGGACAGGTACTCAAAATTGTTATTACTTTATTTTTGCTATTAAGCACAGCTTTTGAAGACTTTATTGCATGTGAGCCCCTCCATTTGGACTTAAGTAAGTCAAGCCACCATATTTCATGTTCAGAATGCACGTTGTCCACTGAGATGGACATGTAATAAATTATTTGTAAATTAACAAAATGTTACAAAAAATATTTGTTGAAATTTGTTTCATTCACACCTAAAGATGGATGAAAAAAATTGTTTAAAAAGATCTCATAATTCATGCATCAGAGGGTTAAACTCCGACAGCACACGCTGGGGGGGGGGGGGGGGGGGTGCTCTTTCAGAAGCCTTTTCCTAACAGGAAGTGTGGATGAAATACATCTCCACCCATGCCTTGACCCTCACTTTAAAGTGACATATTACGACTTTTTCTTAAGATATAGTAGTTCTATGGTCAATACCAAACAGGTTTATCAAGTTCTTTGCCCAAAAACCCTTTCACATAAAGTAGTTTTATTCTCAACAGTCTCTGTACCTTCTAGAATGAGCCTTTTTAGGACTCTGCCACTAACAAGCTGCAGCTGGCCAGGCCCAGCCATCCCCACTCAGACTGCTATTGGCGGACATCACAGAGGGGCTTAGAGTAGAGCCGCTGCTTATCCAGTTCCTTCTTTCATGTAAAAACTTTTGCCCATGTGTGACATCACAAACAGGAACTTTTTTCCAATGTGGGTTAGGATTAGCTTGATTTAATAAAGTAAAAGTCCCATTAGTCATCATCACACCCTGGGGAAGTTACATTTCTGCATTTGACCCATCCCCGTGGAGAGCTGCGCTCTGGAACTAAATGGGTGTTTATCCCCACCCCCCACCCCACCCCAATCCAATTCATTTCAATTCTATTTTATTTATGTAGCGCCAAATCACGACAAGAGTCATCTCAAGGCACTTCACATAATAAACATTCCAATACAGCTCAGTTCATTAAGCCAACCCCTGAAAGCTGAGTTACTGGGTCCCATTTTTAAAGTCTTTGGTATGACCCATCTGGATTGGAGCCCTTATCTCCCAGTCCCAGTGCAGACAGTCCTACCACTAAGCCAAGGTTTGTCTTTTTACTTCAATGTTACTTTTAGCCTATTTATTTTCTTGTGATCAGTATGTTATACACCTTTTCTTGTGCCCTGGTTCATTTTATCTCAGGCCCCAGATCAGCCACCCCACCTATTTCCCATCAGTTAAACAGCTCACGACCAGCCTTGCCAGTCCTCAAACTCCTATCGCTTCTTACTGAAACATTAAAAATGTCATCATTTTTTTTTCAAACTCAACCTCATGACAACAAGAACTAAATGGTGACACGTCTCTAGAATTTCAGGTATTTTGTTCAGTTTGAACATCAAATAAAAAGCTTTGGCTACATTCAGCGCTTTAAGACCAAAGTCCTTCATTTCAAACAAAACAAAATGATTCCAAAACTTAACAATCCTTAGAAAATGCCCAAAGGTAAAAGCTTTCTCTCTCTCAGCCTCTTGAAAAGCACTAACCTAAAGTAAAATGCAAGTGTTAAATAATTAACTTTGGTTGAAACTCCTTTCATTCTGGCCCTTTTATTGTGGAACATTAACACTCCAAGATGACTTCAGGTCTGAAGGACGGCTTTAAGCACAAACTGTTAAAGATGAATTCTCTCTGACATTCAAGCTCAGTGCTTTGTGTAAAGTGCGTAGATGTGTTTGATCAAGAAAGTTGAATAACAGTCGGTAGCTTTGCTGACGTTACAGGCTCTGATTGTTTACTAGGTTTTATACTGAGAAACAGCTTTACAAGAAGACTGAGTGGGCCTGTATAGAAGAGAGAATGAATAAGACACTTTAGAGCTTTTTCTTTTCTTATACAGCCACATTGATGTAGTTACAGTCAAAACAGAGCCACACCTCTGCTCATTTAATTGAAGGAAAGCCACATGATGCATGCAGTTTCAGTCACTCTGTCCAAGTTTATCACCAGAGGAAAGATCTTTGTGTTTTGAGACCTTAGATAAAAGCATAAGTCTTGTTACCACTTTTGGGTGCTTTCCATTTCCTAATGCAGCCCACTGCTTGAACACAGCAGCCCAACTCTGCCCAAATGCTGTTAATACTAATAGTGGCAATGGAGCACAGAAGGATGTTAGGTCAGCAGCTCAGTGGGAGGTGGCTGCTGGCAACTAATTAGAGCCATAAAATGAAGGAAAATGAAACTGAGCTAGTACCTTTGAGACTTTTAGAGTTGTTTTATCTATACTTGACCTGCTCATCTGAAGTAAATTAACACTAAATGCAACAGTGGTGTGACTTCAAGAATGCAGAACAAGTCACTTTTCATTTGTATGGATTTTAATATTAATCTATTGAATGCAAAATCACATCAAATGACTGAAGAATGTATAAATTACATGTATAGCATGGGATTTTTTCCAAGGATTACCAAGCCAAGTCCAATTACTACATACAAAAGTACATTAATATATATATATATATATATATATATATATATATATATATATATATACAAATGAGGGGTGCTCCGATTGATCGGCCACAGATAATTATCGGCTGATTTTCCTGCAAAAGTGTGTGATCTGTGATCGCCGATCACTGCCTTTCATTTCCGATCTGGCACTGGCGCTTACTCTTCCCGGCCGGTAGTTCACCCTTCCGCTTCTCCCCGCTTAGTGCGCATGCACCTGGCGGCAAACCCGCAAAGACAAACATGTCTGCCGTGTGGAACTTCTTTACGGTGTGCGAGAGTGATATTAAGTTTGCGTCTTGCAACACTTGCAACGAAAACATACCCTGCAGAGGAAGCACTTCAAAAAAAATTCAACACAACGAATTTGATCCGACATTTAAAGACTAAACACTTGGCGGAGCATGGTGAGTTTTTGAGGCTCACCGCAGACAATGAAAAGAAGCCTGCTAATGCTAATGCAGCCACAGTCAGACGGCAGCTAACGCAGCCGACGCTTGGAAACACTCGCCCATATGAGCGTGACAGTCAAAAGGCTAAGCAAATTACCCGTAAAATCATCGAGTTTATTGGACTAGACGACCAGCCTTTTTCAGTTGTGGAAGACGCCGGATTCCGCCGACTACTAACCCACTTGGAACCTCGCTACATGCTACCGGGACGTAAATATTTCGCCAACGTAGCCCTCCCAGAGCTCCACCAGACAGTGTAATCTTTCATCGAGGGACTCCTTAAAGAAAGTGTCTCATTCTCTGTGAGTTTCACAAGTGACATTTGGAGCTCAGATGTCAGTCCTGTGTCAGTGCTGAGCTTAACAGCTCACTGGATGTATCTGAATGTATCCTTGGTTACTTAATTTGATTTAGGCGGTGATGTGAGATAATGACTTTTCTTGCACTATTTGTAGCCTAAAGAGAGCCTTAATGTTTTCAATTTCTTATAAATTGTTACTGATATTACATAATTTGAAGTGAAGTAAAACCATGTTTTTTCTGAATTAATATGTAACATATGCATTAGAACTCACCATAGCTAAATGAACAATTTACAGCCAATCTATGTAATTGGTATCGGTAATCAGCTGACCGGCCATGATCGGCCTCTTGGCTGATCGGTATCGGTGATTGGCAGATTAAAACCTGATCGGAGCATCCCTAATACAAATATAATTGGAGACAATATGAGTAGGTTGCTTTATATTGACATCTCTGATCATTTGCCAATATGTACACTTTATAACTGTCCAACATAAGGGAAATAATTATATAAGTAAAGGATTACGAAGGCCAGATTTTATGAATATGTTTAAAACTGAATTATCCAAGCAAAACTGGAATATAGCTTGTGAGCAAACACATGTAGATAAAGCCAATAATCTATTTTTAGAAAGGTTCTTGAAACTTTATAGTG